GCATATTATCGTTTACAAAAATTGCGGTAAAGTGTCCTTGCGTTAAAAACATTCGGGCAGTACATTTTAACGAAGCTCCAATGAGTCAAGCGACAAAGATTCTGGTGGAAGTATCATAACTCTCATCCTTGTGCTATAAGGTCGAGTGTCAACAATTATACGCATAATTATTTGAAATTGAAATAATCTTATTTTACTCGCATGCAAATATACGCATATATGGTTTGTATAATTTACAACTGATGTAGATCTCAATCCATGAGAGTTCGTTGATTTTCAAGTTATCCACGCAGATATAGTACGGGCTTCTTCTAAGTCTCAATAATACTGGATTAAATACATTAGGCTCTTTCCTGCCTTTCTATGCATTGCTTGATAGCCAGAAAACTGATGTGTGGGGGATAAATATAGTTTTATTGATTCATCTTATCGTGAATCAACTTATTTATTAGAGCGACCGAGGTCAATCTCGTCTCAACTTCGTCCATTCAAGTGCAGTCAGGCGCACATCATTATATCCTAGGTGAAGTGAACATTCACCCCGCGGTACTCCAATAATTCTTCTTTCTATGTGGGTCACCTAATCAAAATGATTTTGAATACGTTCCTGTTCCTTTTTATTCCCCGTGAATTCCTTGATTCAGAAAATATGTTCTGTAATCCTGGTATGGTCCCAGTACCTAAAGGTTCATGTTTTGCTCCCATCTGTGTGAGGAATAAGAAATAAAAGTGAACAGCGGTTTGGTCCCTTTTGTGTTTCATCCCTAATGTTTAGTATCATTGCGTTCCAGCCAGGACTTGAAACATGAACTTTTCTCGTAGGAGGAGAAACAAGTCTGTGGTCAACATTTAAACACATGGTTAGTTGGATTAACTGGGATTTTGTTGTAACCTAAGTGTGGATATGACATCAGACACAGATATTGTTTCAACTGTCATTCAAATATAATTCAAAAATATTTGATAACAAATAACACGGATGAAAATTTTGCATTAATGTTTTTGAATTACACTCAAAGTGTTTTGTTAACCAAGCGTCCTTAGAATGACCATTGCGATAAAACCCCTGCTCAAAACCCCTCCAGTGCGTAGCACTTTGCAAATGGTACAGCATAAAAAGCAGATCAAAAATTAACGACAGTTGATTTAATTACCTATTTGAAAACCGCAATTTACAATATCTTCACTGATTCCAAGAATATATTAAGATATACTTTGCTGAAACTATAGTTATTAAGTCCTTTGATTGTATTCGAAAGCGATTTGGCGAACAAGCTTGCTGTTGGTACCTCATGCATGGATTCCTTGGCCCGTCAAGGTTGTGAGAACAGCGACAGGTGGGTTCTGATTGCGATTCCGGTCGTCGCTGCCAAACGTCTTGCGTCTCTGTTTTCTCAGATAGCATTCCGTTGAACTCGGATCATCCTGAGATTGGACTGGACATTTGTATACTCACTAAATGAAGAGAGAGAATAACAGCTGCAGTGTATTATAAAACAAGTATCATTCTCTATCAAGTGCAGAACATATATCTGGTTTCGGAATGAGGACAAATGAGGTTTTGAAGTATAGAACAAGGATGGATAATATGTGAATTCAATTTGAACTCACTTTACTGAACCAAAGTTGCATGCAACCTGATCATCTTGACGACGTTAAGCAGAGGTCTCTCCACAATAGTTCATTAACCCGTGTATTATTTCGGATTACGATCGAATGCGGTTGCGAACCAGGACGAGAAATGAAACCCAATGGTCGCAATCCATCGACTTTGCGAGTGGATCGGGCAGTTTTAACCAGAATAAACAATGAATTAGTTTCTATTACACATATGACTATGGTAGACTTTAACAGCCTCAAACCGAAACATAGGATCGAAGATGCACTTCGAAATTACCTGTTGGATAATACTTATCACAATCTATTCTGTCGAAACCACTAGAAAGCTGGAGGTTACTTCACGAAATATAATAAGAAACAACTGAATATGGATTACCTTTTCAAATTTTAAAAATATTTTGAATTTACGACTCCACGGGTAGTTTTCCTGTAGGGAGCAGTGTTCAATCAACAACTATCTGGAAACACACAAATCATGAAAATAGTTGACATTACTAGTGCTTCGGTGCCAAATTTTTCAGCTTTGATGGCAGATACTCTCTCGTTTAGTCAAACCTGTCCAGTTTGTTCTGAAACAAATGTGGATTAAATAAGTTATTCGAATCGTAATAATAAATACCTGTTGGAATTGACAAGCTCATTACTGATCCTCTTCTAATGTCATAGTGGTATCACCTTCTCGAAATCAAATCTCGGCATAACAAGCAGCTTCTGTTGTACTACTCTTACCATTGTCTACCTGCATTCCTTGATTAGTGTTTGTTTTCAAACATCTTACCACAAAATACTACTCCTGACCTGATCGAGCAATGGCGTATCGCTCGGGTCAAGTTTGCGCTCCCTACCCTATAGTGCCGACAAGCGTAATTTACTCTCTCACCATTGCTGAAATATCATCTCATTCAATCCCCCCATACATCTGTGTACATCCTGTTTGTCTGTATGTTTCAGCAATTACCTGCAAATCTGCCCAAGTGTGTGATAGCGTGTTTGTGTATGTGTGTGCAATTGTGCACGTAACGAATACCGACAAAACCGGAGCTGTTTCAGAGGTGTTCAACTTTGGTTGACCCAGACTTTTGTAGCTTCACTACCTACACATTGTTTTAAGACTCCACACAGCCACAATAAAAAGGTCGTGGTAGAATTGTCTCAACAAACCGGCACATTTCATGCTTCCAAGATCGTAAATTCTCTCTCCACATAGATATATATGTATTTTTAGATATATATATATATATATATTCCTATGCGATGGTGAAGCACTGCACCTCCAAATAGTCTCGAAATTTGTCCTGTTGGATTCTGAAGTGTTTGTTCCGTTTGAGATGTGTTGAAGTGTGTTACACCTCAAGACTCCGAGAATCCTAATGTGCTGAAAGGCTTTGGGCGATGGATTATTTTATAGAAAGCAATCTATATCCAATCAGAATAACGTCTCCCTCGATGTGCTGAACTTATTCTAAGCGATCTATTTCCCCAGAAGTTCTTTTCGATTTTATCCGAAGTAACCTTTCCATAGCAGATTATCAAAGATGCGTTACCTATGCATTAAGGTTCAGATAAGGACTAATGGATCTATGATTCGGTTCCTTGTTTGCAATATGTCTAAGTCAATAAGAAATGAGGATTCGTTAAAAGAACCAAAAATACCGTCTGTTATAGGGATTACCATATAAAGCCAGGAAGGTTTCATCGGGGATCACCTGGATAATGAGCAGAATTAGTTTTAGTTCAAATTATTTTTGGAATAAGCAGACAGAAAAAATAGTAATAGGTTTCTTGGTGAAAAACCCTCCTACTGCAAAGCCACAAGGCGTGCAAACAAAACACACAAACTTCGGTCCATTTGTTGGAACCAGCAATATAAGGCTTATCCGGCAAAGGAAATGGACAAATATTGGTTCTGTGGGATCTCCTATCTTGTTAAGGCGTTCAGAAGGGAGCACGAAACATATCAGCAGCCGTCTGCCTTCGACTGCGAGGCAAGTGGGATAAGCGTTTCATGAACTCAAAAGACTGTCGTTTGGATCACTATTCTGATTTCCGTATATTTATGTAGCACGGCATTGGTCCTATCGTCATTCTATGCGGTAGTCCAGCAGTTCATTTTTGCTTGATGTAAGCCTAACGAGCCTACGTTTAGTTGGGGGATACTAAGAGCGGTGGAAACGCTCCTCGTATCTGGCATTGTAGACAGGAACAGTAATACTGTGAATTCCAATCGAAACATCTAGACCTGCTTCACTGTGCAATATTCTGAGTAATGTGGCTACCAATACAGATTGGCGAGACAACCGGGATATACCCAATTAACACAGATAAAGACAAAGAGTTTCGAAGTACCTCAATGGCTATATAGCCTTATTTCAGCTGATTTACTATCCGAGTGGAAGAGTCACAATGTATCACTTGATAGACAAGCTTGAGTATTCTGTGCTGGTCGTGCAGCGGGATCAAATGTAGTACGGAGGCAACTCGAAGCGGTTAATAGACAATCAACCAGGAGACGGAGGTTTTAAACAATCTGGTAGGTTGAGTGGCCCAATCTTGGCAAACTAACAATCGGATCGTACCGACACCGACATGTTTATAGTTATGCAGCCGATGACATTCCATCGCAAGCAATTCATGATTCGTCTGATTTTTTTCAAACAATTACCCGCGAAACACGTGTTCACATTTCTACGTGTCGGTGACGAGATAGTTTTGTAGCTCATAATGAGTGTGACACTATTCCCGATCTGCAAATATTTTGCGCACAACATTGTTAGCCAATTTAAACAGACCAATGTAAGCTCTGGGTGATGGAACTATCTATGATGAACGACACTGGACAAGTGCTCTATCTTCTTTATGACATGGCTTCGTGCCCGCGTGCTAAATTGGATTATTCTATTGTGGTTTTGTGCATTCAACTGGATCTATTCAATCAGAAATGTCTCAAAAAAACGAGGCTTCCAAGAACACGAGTCCATCCTGCTCCAGGATTGTGGGCCCAAGGGACAAAGGCCTCCGGTGTGATGAGTGTGCTAGGTGGCTGCACCTGAGATGCACCTAAATCGACACCGACAAATACAAATGGCTAGAGAAATGCCTCTCTCCATTCCTAAATATCGTGTGCTTCTAGTGCTTGATCATCACTCCCAAGGAAAGCCAATCTTCACTTCCAAAATCTCTCTAGTCTGCATAACGCCGGCTACTGTGGTGACAGTGGCCCCTTCGTATACAGATTTCACTTCCACTCCACTTACAAAAGCAGCTCATGCAGCCTCATCGCAGCAGAAGCAGCCGAAAAAAGGGCGGGGTTATCGTCTGCTTTATCGCTCCCACGGACAGCCTCAGCTCCCTCCAAGACATCTAGGTAAGATACGTTTAACATGTCACGGACAGTTGAGAGGTGCCACGGCGATTTGCAGGAACCTATTAAGCAGAGGAAGCTCCCTCCGAGATCTCAGTGCATTATTGTTGTCAATCTTCCGAAGGCTGAGGCCACCACCACCAAGGATCGCTTGAACCACGACCTGCAGCTGCTGAGGTTGAACATGATTACCTTGTTTGATGACGACGAGGTGGAACCAGCAGCATCAGTCAGAGTAAAAGCGGCATTCAGGCTTGGAAAACCCCGGAAGGATAATAATCCACGTCTGCTGCAATTGGTTCTTCGGGTAGAAAGCGAGGCCAAAGAGATACTCCAGCAGACCCACAAGCTGAAAGAAACTCCGGTTTGGTTCCTCAGTGATCTTGATCCGCACCAGCGCAGTAAACTGAAAACTGCATTGGAAGAACTCAGCGAGCGCCGTGCAAAAGGGGAAACTGATCTGTGTATACGGTATTTTCCTGTGCATCGGAAGCGCCCACAACTGCGTGTGCTACCTTTGACCGAAGGGAGGACCTAGGAGACTGTTTAACCACGGACGAGGGATTAGGTTGAGGCGCGAAAGGCGAGGTAACCACACTGTGCTAGCCTCAACAAGTATCCGAGGGATGCTGGCGAAAAGGGATGAAATAAAGGACTGGGTTGTATCCCACAATCCCGATCCCTTTTGCAATCATCGAAACCTGGCTGACACCGGATGTCCGGGACTTCGAAATATCCCTCCACGGTTAAACTGTGTTACGAACGGATCAATCATCGTTACGTCGCGGTGATGGAGTTGTTCTTTTGGTCCGCTCGGGTCTCCCTGTTCGATTGCTGGAGAACTACGCCCATCCGGAAGGATTTAGAGAAGCCCTGTGATGCAGAATCAAGCTTTGTGTCGGAGGGTATATCAAAGTTGGAGTGATCTACCGCATACCTATTGTGTACGTTCCGGAGCTGTTTGCCAGCATATAGAGGTACGCCTGCGATGGACATTGTCTTGTCTTGGATGATTTCAACGCGCCACAAATTGATTGAGAAACTGACATCTATCCTCAGCACGCAGATTTGTTTTCCAGAGAAAGTTTTTTCGCTGTCCGAGCTCTCTAGCTTGTTTTGCATGTTCATGTGCCCACGCGGATAGTTGAGGATCAAAAGTCCATCCTTGACTTTCTATTTTCGCCGAGGCAATCAGATACGACCAAGATTGACCTCCTTCCACCAATGGTATCTTGTGATCACTCTGTTCTGCGTATACACTGGAGGCATGCGTAACCCAAAGGCCAGACTTACTAGACGGACGGAATGTGTGGCGCTTATCCTTTCCGGAAATGTGTCAGGCTGCATCGTTCATAAATTGGGGTTCCCGAAACCCTGAGGATGTGGATGTATTCTGGGAGTTGGTTCGTCATACAATCCATTAACTGGTACTGGAATTCTCTCCATCCCAAAGCCACCGAACACACGCTATGGGCCCGCCGTGGTTTGATCGAGAACTGCAGGCGTGCCTCCGGCAGCGGAATAAAGCCTGGTCCAGGTACTATGCAACAGGCTCAGGCTATGAGGAATATCGATGTATTCGGAATAATTATACTGCACTGAAACAATGCAAGAGAACCAGATTCGAGGAACGACTTGCAGTGGATTCGGTACAGGCACCAGAGCGAGTGTATGCCTACCTCAGCCGAAGAATCAGAGCAACACCTGGTCTCCCAACTCTCGGGACACTGGCCGAAAAAGATGAGGACAAAGCGGAGATGTTGGCATCACATTACGCCTCAGTGTACACCCCAGACTCCAGGACATTGGCACATCCACTAGACACTGACACTCAATTTGCCATCAGAGACGTGGCCCTGGTGCTGCGTCGGTTAAAGATTCACCAGTCACCTGGACCTGATGGTGTGCATTCGCTTATCCTCAGGGAGCTGGCAGATGAACTTGCAGTGCTACTGTGCAACCTATTCAATTTGTCATTTGGTCAAGGGCGCTTACCGCGGCAGTGGAAGGATACTGTCATTGTTCCACCACTCAAAGGTGAGGATAGGAATGACCCCAGAAAATACCGACCAATCAGCCTTATGAGTAAAGTAATGGATAAAGTAATGGAGCGACTGGTGGCTGCACAAATTCGGCAGTATTTGGTGTGACATGGTCACCTGTGCCACCAATAACACGGTTTCTCGCCGGGTCGCTCATGCCTCTCAAACTTGCCACTTGCCCGTGAATGCTGGAGCGAGGACAAGGCCAAAGGAGACGAAACGGACATCATCTTCATGGAATTCCGCTAGGCCTTCGACAAGGTGCCGCACGACCGTCTTCTGCGAAAGCTGTCCAACCGAAGTGTAGGTGTGGTCCTACTGAATTTGTTGCGAGACTTCCTCATCGACCGGAAATTCTGCGTCCGTGTTGGCAAATCGCTATCTGCGTGGTATTCCGCTCCAAGTGGGGTCCCCAGGGCTCGGTTCTTGGTCCATTTGTGGTTTATGTGAACGATCTGCCCGGTCAACTGTGCAGCCTATCCCTCATGTATGTGAATGACATCAAAATCTGGGGTACAATCGAGGGTGCGGAGGATCGAAATACTCCTCAAGAGGATTTCAACAACCTGGTCCACTGGGCGGATACCTGGGCTCTTCCAGTCAACACCGCAAAGTGTGCTCACCTGCACTTGGGGCGTGCTGAATCAGGGGTAGTCTACAACTTCCTGGGAGCTACTTTGNAGACTTCCTCATCGACCGGAAATTCTGCGTCCGTGTTGGCAAATCGCTATCTGCGTGGTATTCCGCTCCCAGTGGGGTCCCCCAAGCCTCGGTTCTTGGTCTATTGCTCTTTGTAGTTTATGTGAACGACCTGCCCGGTAACTAAACAGCCCATCCCTCATGTATGCGGTTGATATCGAAATTTGGCATACAATCGAGGATCTAAACGATCAAAGTTCTCTTCAAGCGGATTCGAACAACCTGGCTGAATGGGTGGACACTTCCAGTCAACACCGCAAAGTGTTCTCACCTGGACTTGGGGTGTTCTGACTCAGAGTTAGTCTACCACTCACAGGGAACCACATTGCGCAGAATATCGTGCGAAAGACACCTGGGTGTTATGGTTACGTCATCCCTAAAGACCCGAGAAAACACAGATCGGGTCTGTGCTAGTGCAGGGAGTATTCTGGGGCCTATTCGGCGGTTTTTCAGCCAGCTCACAATGAACGCTTTCAAACTGCTTTACGCTTCCCATGTCAGATCAAGACTTGAGTATGGTGGTGCGGCAAAATACGCCCGCACAGCCGGTGAACTGGCTAAGTTTGAGCGTTTACAACTTGCTGCCACTAGACTCGTTGTTGGACTACGCGGAACCAGGTATGAAGGTCGTCTACAGGCTACTGGTCTGTTCCCAGTTGCGTATCGGCGCCTCAGTGGAGATCTCACCTGTCTGAGGAAGATCCTGATAGGTGATATAGGCCCGGAGCTGCAACAGTACTTCCCTTTACGAACAGAGGACCGCACGCTGGACACTCTCTCACGTTGCGGAAACTGCAATCAGTTGGTCTTTTGTTAGTCTACCGCCTCCGTCGGAGGTCAACAACCCTCTGGAATTCCTTTCCAGCGACCGTGGTGGAAGATAAGACAGACACTGCTTTCAAACGGCGTCCGGATGAGCATCTAAAGGGGCTATGGAGAAACGAACGCTTGTGATCGGACCTGTGACCCAGTGGTGTTGGGGCTTATATGGGCACCCCGCCCCCTACCCTCAATACTGAAGACTGAAGACTGAGCAGTCAGAGGGGTTGATAAAAAATAATTCCCCAAAATCTTTAGTACAAAATGAATAGTATATGAATGACTGAGCAGAACTCCATAGAAGCTTACTATTATCTTTCTACTCTTTATAAAAACCCTTAAAAGCGGCTCTGGCATCCAGTTAACTGGGGTGAGAATCATCTTATCCATAAAACCTAATAGAGAAACATCGCAGTGATTCTTCGAGGCTTGTTCAACTTGAATCATCTCCCCGAGTTTCAAATGAGATTTGCATTTTCTATGGCACAGTATTCTATCCAAATACACATGATTCATATACACAGAAAACTAAAAAGACAGTTTACGACTCGGAAGTTTCCAGTTCTTATCCGTTCATTCATTTACCGGAAGCGTAACATGACTGGAATAAGTCATTACGCTATCACTTTACAAAGAAAAATCCTAAATTTTCTCTCAGAAACGCTAATGTCATGATTCCTAAAATACAGGTGTTGGTTAAACTCGTGCAACATCACTCCCCTTTTCGAAATACATTTCGGAATACAATTCATATATGCATATTGATGGCTAAGGGTGAATTGCATTTATTCGTGACTTTATCTCTCACTGCTACATTCTTACTTATATTCTATCGCCGTTTAAATTTGCACGACCTTGAGTGCCACGATAAAATTTGTTGTAGTTCAAAAGTTTCGGTTCAGATTTGGAAAATATTTCATGCGAAACTTCGTGGGACTTCATTGCTTCTAATGAATTATCCCTGTTTCAGAAGTGTTGATTAGGCTGAACAGACGTATTCTAAATCGCCAATCTCTTCCCATTCAATGCGCGGTAAATTGGGCAATTATTAAAAATATTCAATATCCACTAAATTGATAAAGTATTTGGCTACAAACTACTGACGCGTTATCCCTAATATTGAAAGAATTTAAAATATAATCCAAAAGAACATAAATGCTGACCTTCGAAGGTTGGCCTTGAGGTATGCAGCTTGTTGAATAAGCGTTTTATGCATTCGCGGAAGTCATATTTTTCACAGATGAGGTTAGTATTAGAAAATGGTTAGATTTCATTAGATATTTTTCACATTTTTTGCAGTTTCTGTAAGGGCCAATTCCATGGTCCAATTAATTCAGTTACCACCCTGAAGTTGAGATTTGAATGTAATCGAAACGTTTCCCTGTGTTAGAAACAGGGATAAGTTAGCTGCCTCGGCAGTGATCGTCAGTGGTTAGGGTGCGGCATGTATTAGAGGACTGACAAATTTTGTTGGACACAGCTTCGTGGACGCCATGCGAAATTGATTGCCTCCAGTAGTAAAAAAGGAAGAAGGCCAAATAAAACCTGAACGAGAAGGAAGTACAATACCTGTACCATACCTATGGGTAATTTTGATAAATAAATCCTTTTCGTGTTTCTTACTATGGCTTTGTTTTTCCACAGCTGATGCATCAGCAACCATCGTCAAAATCGAGAAATCGTTTGTTTAAATGGCCTTCCGCCAATAGAAGCAGTGAGATAAGTGGGTATTATATCAGATATGTTGCGTCTGATGTGGAGCAATATCATACTAAATTCCCTGAATGAGGATCGAAACACTAAGCATTGGGAGGAAAAAATGTGGTTTAAATCCGGGTGCTGCACGAGTTTGGTCAATACCTGTAAATTTTGTGTTGAGACATTTTATTACACTCGACCCGCATTTCTAGTGGATCAAACAGACAATGGTTGAGCGCCGCCTTTCGACCGCCATGTGATTCTTTCTTCCCAACCCCGCAAACCATTTACTCTTTATTAACTTCTGGATTGGTCGCTTTTCCTAATTGGTAACAATGATAGTATACGATTCAGTTTGTCCGATAAGATTCAACGCTAAGTGAACGCTTCATTCTATGAACTCAGTCGCCACCACAACAAACAATCTGGTATCCGATGCTGTTAGTAAGACCTATGCCGCAATGTTCACGTCCCAGCAAAATGTGTGTTTACGACTAATGGACAAAATGCCGGATTCTGCCATCTCATGTGGTGTGTACTCATTTAGCTGTTCCTGTGGTACAAAGCACGGTCAGGCTTTGCCCGAACGAATCAGTGGACATCACCCCATATGGCTGAACACAGGAGAGATTAGACCACTCACTAGTGCAGTGGTTTCGAACCTATTTGAAACAAATCAACGTGACCGTGGCCTTCTGTCTCTTGTATCGGGTTTGCGGTTGACTATCAAGGCAGGTTCGATGTCGAATACTGGCCACAGCGGAAATGATCGGAATTCGTCGGCACAGTCCCCCTCTGTGTGCCCAAAAATAAATCATACATGCGATTTAGCTCCCCTGCCCACCCTCCACACACCCCATATTCCTAGTGGTCTAAATGACGGGATGACCTAACAATTATGTGATCGGAAAAACGGGTCGGTGAGTGAACATTTGTTTTCGGATATTCACAAAGTGTAAAAATGATTACGTAATGATGGCCATTGGTCAGTAATCGGAGGTAGGTGTAGGCGGGTGTGCCTGTGTATTTTTGTGTGTTAGAACGTTTAGTGTGTTAGTTGATGTGACCTTTCCCCATTTGGGTCAAGTAACACGTCTGCTTTTCACACCCGGCAATTGGAGCGCACTTATAAAAGTAAATTATCATGGATGAGGTCAGTTTCGGCAGTTTGTCTTTCACTTGCATTGGCATCACCTATGATGTCGAGAACACTGGTCTAAGTTTGGCTTCCGGGAAAGTGGAATTCACAACCGATCTCAGTGACTGCACTAGGCTTTCCGGGTGTTAGTCCCTTTTAAATGGAATCCTTATGAATAGTTCTTTCTTGGGGACGCAAATGATGTTTTCCTTCTCGGGAGTGAGCTAAATAATCCTTTCGATGAACTTTTCCGGATAACCATTGTCCTGCAGCGTTTGGCGGATGAAGCGTAGTTCTTCATCCAGTGTGTCTGCTAACTAAATTTTCCGTGCTCTGAAGGCTAGACACCGGACTAGATTACGTTTAAATTTCACAGGAACGAAACCATGGAAGTTGGCATATTAACCATTCCATGATTTCTTTCTGTGGATCTGCCTTCCTACTGATCCATCTTCTTTCCTGTACACGGCTATATACAGAAAGTTCAATATGTTGTTCGTTTTAACCTCTACAGCGAATTCCAGTGATGGATGTGTCTCATTAAACGATTTCGGTAACATTAGGATGTCAATTTGACGATCGGTCACACAGAAGATATCCTCCATATATCTATTATAGTGTGCTAATCCTTCAATAGTTCGGCTCAGCATACTACTTTCCAGTTTATCCACAAAGAGATCAGCTAGTAACGGACCGAGTGTGGATCCCATGGCAATCTCATCCATTTAACGATAGAGAATACCGTTAAATAGAAACTGCTTGTTACGTGTGTAGCGTAGTAACAGGTGCTTTATATTTGTGACCGGAATACCAACTTTTACATTATTCGTTTTTATTTAATCACAGGTGAGTTCCACCGTCTCCAGCCGATGTACAATGTTGACCAGTAAGACGACATCCAAGGAAAACCTGGTCTTTTCTTGCAGATCCAGGCCTTCTCTTTTAGCTGCAAACTGGAAACTGTCTCGGAGACTGTGTGGCAATTCACCGTGTACGGGTTCTAGTAATTCGAACAACTACTGTGCCTTTAAGTCATATAGTGAATTCACCATTGCCGTAATGGGTCGCGCTGGAACTCCATCTTTGTGAATCTTAGGGAGACCGTACAATCGCGGGATGGTGGACCCACATGGTTTTAGTCTCTCGAATGCAGCATTGTCCATGTGCCCCTATAAAGTTAATGCCTTCAGTAGATGTGTGATTTCATCCTGCACCTTTTCTATCTCATCATTTTCTTTGTTACATTTAGAGTACTTTTT